TTTCGATGATCATCTCCTCCAGCCCATGGATGTCCTTGATCCGCAGAGGAGCGAGTCGTCTCTCCAGCTTACGGTCGCCGCAAGTCTCCAGGAAGCGCTTGACGTGGTCCTACGCCTTGCGGCCGCCGTTCTCGAACTGGACGCCTGCGTTGCGGGCGTAGCCGTTGAGTCGGTTCAGGTAGTCGCAGACGTGGTCCTTGTCGTCGCGCTTGGCAGAGTAGTGTCGGGTTTCCGCTGACTGGCTGAACTGGGAGCAGTAGTAGCGGATGAAGGCTTCGCTCAGCAAAGTCCAGGTTCGCTTGGTCTTCTTGGTCAGTTGTTGGTGCCAGTGTACCGCGCCGTCTCTCAGGTGGAGCTCGAAGGGTATGCACCATTCATTGAGCGGCGCGTGTGTACCTTTCATCTCGTACATAAACGCGCGCAGCCACTGCATCGAGTTCTCGCTCCTGTTGCGAGCGCCCGAGAACGTCGGGACCTGTCCCAGTGGTCGGTGCATCGCCACCTCGAGCCTCAGCGTCGAGTTCACTGTCTCTGCGTCGCTCACCTCTCGGATCTGTCGCAGATATTCGTCCATTTGTGCACCTCCGTCTCCCGTGAAGTCATCGTCGCCATCAGATGAGTCGTCGGCCTAGCGGGACTTGCGACTTGAGCTCCGTCCGGTGCTTCGTAGACTGCTCCTAATCACTCACGAGTCTTCGGCACCACGCACAACTCGTTCAGTACGAGTCGTCGCGGGTGGAGTGACCATGTGGGAGTCTTGAAAGTACGGCGATCGCTCGCCCGACGCACTGAACACTCCTCCAGTCGCAGCCCGGGCTGAGTAACTGCACTCGGTCTTCTTCGGAGTTCGCGGGAGCGGGACGCGCGCTGGGTCAGCGCCGCCCTTGTTGGTGCGAGCCGCCTTCGGCTGTTCCAAAGAGAAGGGGGTCACCCCGAAGGCTGTATACAACTTCTTCTTCCATTGCCAGAGCTCGGCTCCGGCTTCCGCAGGCAGGAAACTCTCCAACCCAACGCTTTCAGGAACGTCACCGTGTCCTTCGCCACTTGCTCAATTGTGACCGCATTCACCGGTCGCGCCAACTCGTGGCTCAGGTCTGCCCACACCGCTTGGCGGATCATGCGCGGCTCGAAGGGTCGACCCCATTCGCTCGCACGCATTGCTTTAAAGCATCGGCCGAGTACCTTGTTGGCTGCCGGCGTGTTTCCATTCATCGGCGGTCGGTTGCCCGAGGTTTGCTCGGATACTTGAGTCGTCAGCACCGGCGATCGTGAGTCGTCGGCGCTATCTTCAAACTCTTCCATGTCATCATAGCTAGCTCAGGGCCATCCACATCATCCAGTTCGTCCGCGAGGTTGCACGAGACGGGAGGCGCGTCGTCTACCAACTCGCTCGCGAGACTGCGCGCCAGAGAGCGCGAGCCCCCGCTGTGCCCCGCGGACATCACTGCATCTTCCGGAGTCTCGGGTGTCACCACCGCTGGCGCAGGCGCCTTCTCCTCCAGGTAATCGTCGTATTCTTCATCCATTTCTTCGTCCTTGGCGTCGGATCCAGTCATCGACTCGTCGAAGCTGACGTGGCGCTGAGCAATCGGGTCGAGTTGCGGCGTGATCAGGGCCGTCATCGAGTCGTCGCCTCGCGTTCCGCCGGACTTCATCGGAGTTGCTGGTACCGCCGATTGAGATCCTTTCACCATCTTCTTCTTCTTCTTCTTCTTCTTCTCAGGTGTTGCTCGTAAAGTCAGCTGACCTGTAGTAGCACGAGACACAGAAGGTCACACCAATCCCGGGTCGCGGCACCAGTTGTCGTGTAGGAACACGCACTAAGTTATATGATAGCACACTTTCCCCACCAACAACACCCACCAAGTCCCAATGACTCAATGGGCTTGTAAGGGTTAGAACCTGAAGGCCCAGGAACGTTCCATTGCACCTTGTTGATGTTTCCTCTGTGCACCGTGTTTCCGCTTTGTCAACTGACGGAAACCTAGCGTCACCAGCCACGAGCAAAGGCTGACACGCTCTCACACACAATATAAACCTCGCAGGCCCTCAGGAAGGAAGTGTCCCAGCCAGTCACGGCTTGATACGAGGGTTCCGGAGCTATACTCCGACGGGAAGGATAAATGGAGTGCGCTCTCGCTCCTCCACTACACGGCGATGACTCGCCCTTCGTATACACGGCCACTTCTTCACTACTCTTGGCCTGACCACGGGTAAACGCACGCTACGATACTAGCAGGCGCGTCCACCGACAGTCATAATCCTACCAACAGGTTTATCCAATTGCTACGGGAACTCACCGATAGCCCGGACGTCTTCCTTGAGTGGTTGGGAGGAAAAGCTGTTTTGTTCTTGTTGCCCAAAGGGCTTATCTGTTCTATCTTCTCTTTCCTATGGTTCAATACAAATATCTAGTCTAGCCGTGTCCGTTGTGGATCTTCCAGGTAACCACCGACCCTTCAGAGCCTCCTCGACGCCCCAAGAGGCCTCTCGATGACTCTATTGGACGATGAAGGGGTTCCCTGACTTGGAGCAGTCACCGGGGCTCGAACGGTCGTCTTAAGTGCGGATCTCGGGTCATAGTTCGCTGTAGGTTCGGATCGTACTTGAAGTCCTGGATCTCGAACTTGGGTGTCGACGAGTCTTCGGCACCGGTCCAGAATGGCCAATCAGCATCCGCCGAACATTGCTGAACATGTCCCGACGACTCGGGTCGCCACTGAAGCTTGGTCGTCAGCTCGATTCTCGTTTACCGCCAAATCACTACACCACACTAGTACTAGCTCGAATGAAGCGGCTTCGGCGCTGCGAAGAAAGCTGGAGAATGAGTGGTGCTTGAAACCCTCAAAGAAAGTGGAGGTGGTCATCTGGACCACCATTTTTCTGTTCGTGACTGAAAGACAGCAGGCAGAGCCTGCAACTCGTTTTCATGTTGCCTGCAGAGGGTGTCGCGGTCATCGCATCACCCTGTTCACGCTGTCGGGCAAAATCTCACAGACAAGTGCTTTCAAAAATTATGCGCGACTCCCTCGAATCGTAGCGCCACCTTAGTACTGTATGACTGACGTAGGATATCTGGTTGTACATGGACTCGTAGAATCGCTTTCGAAAATGTTGGAGTTTTCACCCAAGTCCGAGGATATGATAACTTGTCCTGATTCAGGCGGTTGCCGCGCTCCGGTAGGTATAAGCTTATTGGTACCAGAACGAATGGCTCACTGGACAGATGCCCGATTGGAGAAGCTCAATCAATCTACTGCAGGTGTTGCTCATAGTAATCCAAAGTTTGACACTGAAGCAGTCGCTTGGCGTTTCGGCTGGTTTGCAGCGAACAAGCTGTAGGTTGCCGCCAGCCAGCAATGCTGGCCAAACATATCCACGGTGAACCGTGCAAAGCTTCGAACAGCCCCAGGCACTGACACGGCGAAACGATGCACGCTCTCAAGATGGTAGTAATGCCGGGTAGAAATGCGAAAAGCTGCACTTTTGTAAATTCTGCGTCACGTTGCAGGGGCTTTCAAAGCCGAAAGTTGATCCCGAGGCGAAAATCTCGCTGATAGAGCACTGCCAGGTGGCGCTCAGGAAGGGAGTCCTTCAAGGTGGTAGCCCTTCTGTTTTGGCGGTTGGTCTAACGGTGGCTACATCCTGACAAGATTCTTACGCCTCGGTGCAAAGCTCACACAAAGCTCAGAGAGCATTTGTTGCTCGCTCGTAAGCTGCTAAACTTGGAGCGGCGACAAAGTGCACCATGATACAGTACCATGGCTTGGCTTACCTGCAGCAACGGAGCGGCAGTGCCGCACATAATAGCTGCATTAATTTTTCATAATTTACATGTATTATCAATATCACGTGAACGAAACTGTCAAGACCTGCAAGCGCCGCTAGCCTTGCGGTACATGCATCTTTAAAATGTCCTCTCGCAACCGAGAACTGAGCAACACCTCAATCGGATACTTATACATATTTCTTGATCAAAAGTTTTAGGTTTGTTAAACAAGTGCCAAATATAAATAATAATGGTATGTACATGTACTACTTAAAAAGTAAGTATGTACAACACAGCGACTACTTTTTATTTTAAAAAAATAAAGTAGATATCAAGCGCTTTCCCGAAGTGTGTATTAAGATGCCTAATTTTCAAGTGTGAAGGAAGGCATTGATAGCGTCGGTATTTAGTGTTCGCCTGTACTCGGAAGATAGGTAATTAACAAAATTTACAAACCAATCAGACGATGAAATCGGGAGTATCTCACAAGCTGTGAGTCACAGTGTGAATTCATCAGCTGCAACCACTGTACAGCTCAAGTTTTCCTGTGGAATCCGCTCGGGGAATAGCGCAAATAAAAAGTAGTCTGGATGACTGCTTCGAGCGTGGAAAGGAAACTCCTGATGTCACGACAATGGGGGAGTTATAAAATCTTATTTTGACTCTATTGGTGTCACACTATTATACTCATGGTGCACTTCAATGTACTTCTCTGGCCCACATAAGAAACAGCACTTCGGTTTTCTGGACATAACTTTTTACAAAACAATCGTTTGGTGACTCGCAATACCTCAACCGAAAGCTGCGCATTTGCTCCGTTTCACGCTATGATTTAAAAAAATCTAGCAGCAGAAAGAAAAGAGAAACAGCCTTTTATCTGAAGTCCGTTTTAGGCAACATTTAGGTTTTTTAGCGAGGTGCCGTCAAAAATTAGCGATATTAAAAAATAAAATATCACCGTAATCGCGAGTGACTGCATTACCCTTTTGTTCGGTTGTCGATGTTGTAGCGCCTGTTGGAGACGAGTTAGAAGGGCTACGGTTTTGAGGTTTTTCTACGCGATTATCTCGACATGCGCAGACCCATTTATTTTGGCCAATAGTAAGATGAAACAGTTGATTATACCCAATCATATGTGACATGTGGTTCACATCAAATTGAGGTGTAATGCCGAATGTTGTTTCTTAAGTGGGCCAGAGAAGTATTTACTTGACATATTATTTTCTAAGTTTCAACGGCGCGCATGTACTTCGCGGCGCACTACGGAAGCTGCAGCGATTGAAAAAATATTGGACAGCACCATGTGGTCTAGTGATCCCGCCATCGACGATGCACCATGCTCCACGACGCTGAGAAACGCCGCCTTCAGTTGAAGCGGTGTCTTGTAGCGCAGTACTTGCCCGTGGAACGGTTTGATCAACGCCGCCGCAGTTTCGTCAGCCTCAGCAGATAACAGCGATAGATACACACAAGTCAGCGTGGTATTAGTCGAGACAGCACGCTGAAGTCCGTTCCAAACGTCCACCTCGGTAGGATCGTGACCGATGACTTCAAGTTGAAGCATCTCCAGGGGCTTGCTGCTCGAGTTCAGCAACAACGATGACAACTGAGCGCCAACAGTAGGGGTAATGCATTCCACGAGAACACCCAGCCTAGCTATATGACAGCGGCCCTCTTCGTATGCTCGCAACAGTGGCGACAAGTCCGTCATCAGGTTGCGGGTCACGTTCAACTTCGCCAGATTCGGACAGACATGAAGAATTGTGTCCAAATCTTGAGAATTTAACCCACACGCCGGAACGTCCAGTGATACCAGGGATCTACCCAGTAGCCGCAGCAAAGCCACCATACCGTTGCTTTGTTCCTCTGCCCCCCGATAAGTTAAAGAGTGCAATCCGGGTCGTACTCTTGCTCCAGACAATTTCGACACGCACGATGGCTTAGATGTTTCGTACCTCACAGCGCTTCTAACCACCCAGCCGAAACCGTAGCCTGGAATCAAAATGCATAACCAATCAACCAGCCGCACCATGACCTCGTACTCAAAGTCATTCGCTTGAAGTGTCCCCGGCAGCAACTGGGGCCATGCCGCAGAATAGCCAGGATTCGTCCACGCTTGAGACCCGCCCAGCAGCCGAACGAAAAGCCGCTCATTCGGAGGCAGTTCACACTCTTCGCACCCTTCACCCTCAGGCAGACGCCCGTCCTGCAAAAGCACCAACGTTCTCCCGGGATGAGGCGATTCTAGCATTGCTACAAGGGCCTCCATGTCCTCAATTTGCAGCTGCAATCCAGAGACATCGAAGTGTTCCAGTGCAGAGCCCGAGTCTACGTGGAAGACAGCTAAGAAGATCCACGCCCACAACAACCGAGAGTTTGAATGCGCACCGCGAGTCGTGTACCCCACGGACAGTTTCGCCAGAGGCGATGAGTACCGAAGCGCAGAACAAAGAGCTGCCATGCAGTTGCCATCGACCCCCACTCGGGTCAGGTCCAATGCCCTGAGGGGCGATGACGGCGCCAGCACTTGTCTAGTGAACACCTGGAAACTCTGGAGCCCCGAAGGATTTCTCAGCGAGTTGAAGTACACCCCGGGCAGCATCAGATTGCGGATCGTTGACGACGGGAGCGTGACCAGCTTGGCCAGCAGCATCACGTCCTCTGATGCGCTTAGAAAGCGGCAGTTGTCGAACCAGAGCGACGTGACCTCAAACTTGACGTGCCGAAACCCCTCCTCCTCCTCATCCGTCGAAGTGTCCACCTTGGCAAAAAGGTCCTGCATACTGTCCACCATGCTGCGAAGAATAGAAGTGTCCACGACGTTGTTGGATAGTCGCAAACAAATTTCAACCGGTTGTCTCCTCCGCCGACTTCCCGGCACCTGTAGACACTGAATGAGATGTCTGTCCTCCTCGGCCAACAGCCCTTGAGGGTCCATCTGCAAGAACTGGAAGAACATTTGCACGCCCTCTAGCGTCGGCCTCCCTATGGACAGCGCGAACTTGGGGGCAGCCCCGACGTCTCGCACCGTCTCGAGGTACTTCTCGTCCTTGAAGTCCGCGGGTCTCAGCAGCGCCGGCCACCACAGAGACTCGAAGCTCTCCTCCCACCGACACGACGGCGTCGCGCTCAATTGGCCGACGAGCTCCAGCAGCGCCCGACGTGTCTGCAGCTGCTGGGCGATCGACGGCCTGCCCGGTTGGGACAGCGGCACGTTGATCTGGCTCAGCGTGACGATGTCCAGACGCACCCAGCACTCGGCGGGGGACAGCGGCCACGAGCGGCCGACGGCGGCGCCGAAGCCGCAGCGCACGAGTCTACACGGGCTGCAAGCGGCCAGCTCCGCGCCTTGCGAGGACGCGCGGGCCGCGTACTTGGCCACCAGCTCCGTCGCGTCCTGCAGCGCCAGCGTCGTCGTCAGGAAGCCGTCGTGGCCATCGGCCGTCTGCATGGTCTCCTCGGTATTCCACGCACGAACTCAGATGATGGTACCAAAACTTTGGTACGGTACCGAAAGCATGGTACGGTACCAAAACCACGGTACCACCAAGCCCAAAGCCAATTTCCCATCGGGATCGATGCACTCGTCTTCATACTGGAATCAAGTGAGTCAGCGACGTCGGAGTAGGTAGCAGCAGCATGTCGACCCCCAAGGCGCGCAAGTCCGTCAAGGTGGGCGGCAACGTGGGCGTGCTGACGGGCCGCCGCAACCGCCAGCAGACCATGCTGTCCATCCGCAAGGCCAAGAAGGAGGACGCGTACGCCACGCGCCGCAACCTCAAGGCCAACCACCCGCCGGCCGCCGCGCAGACCGCCAGCCGCAAGGAGCTGCTGCTCAACCTGGCCTCGCGCTCCCAGGCCCTGCTGCTCGGTGCGTCATACCACCAATACCCTCATTCACTCTGTTGTTCTCTGACTGACTCAGCGCACAGGCATCCAGCGGCCGGATGCGCTCACGAGGCAAAAGTCCATGCGCGCCTTCGTGTACCTGTTGTCCAGCGGCGTGCCACCGCTCTTCGACGAGAGCGACTCGCAGCACGAGGGTCTGTGGCGCACCATCCTGGCCGCGCTGCCCTCCTTCGTGGCCATCCTGAACGAGGACCTGCCCGACGCCAACGCCGCGCAGCTGCACTCTGACGCGGCCTTCGCGCTGCGCTTCATCTCGTCCATGGACAAGGCCAGCGCCGTGATCGCGTCGGGCGCCGTGCCCAAGCTCGTGCAGCTCTTCCAGTCGGGCATCTCGGAGCTGCAGATCCAGGCCGCCTGGTGTCTGGGAAACATCGCGTCCGCGTCCGCCGAGAGCTGCCAGGAGATCGTTAAGGTGTGTCCGCCCAGCGTGGTGCTGCCGCACATCCGCATGGCCACGCCGTCGCTCCGCCGCGCAGCAGTGTGGCTGCTGCGCAGCCTTGTCGAGTTCCCCGACGTCCTGGACAAGAGCGGCGTCATGGGACCGGATACCAAGCGCGAGATGATGGAGTTGCTCTCGAGCATCATCCTGCAGCTCTCGAACGAGAAGGTGAGCAACTTCGTCTCGGCCAACGGCCAGGCGGGCGAGGCGATCAAGTTCAAGAAGGCGGCGGCCATCGCGCCATGGCGGATCTTCGAGGTGCGTTTACTTGTTGTTGTTGGTTCGTAAGATGTCAACCTGAGTTATGCCTAACCGAGCCCCTTCTGACGTAGATCAACACGGGCAAGCCCGCACCGAACGATATCGCCGTCGTGCGGTTCGTGCGCGAGGTTGATGAAACGACTGTGGAGGTCATGGACGTCGACGTGAACTTCGAGACGGGCGAGAACATGGTGTTCCAGGCGAAGAAGGCGGATATGCGGCCACTGCAGGTGATGGACGACGCCATTGGCGAAGACGACGAGCTCGAGGACGAAGAGACCGACCTGCTGGATGAACAAGTACTGACGCTGTGCGATAGCTGCTGGGCGCTGGTCGAGATGACGCTGCACGACAGCGACGTCGTGGGCGGCATCGTTAACGCCGGCCTGTGCCCGCGGCTGGTGGAGCTGCTGTACATTTCACAAAGCAGTGTTATCTTGGCACCAGTGCTGAGACTACTGGGTAACATTGTGTCCGCGGAGATTTCCTTCTCCCAAGCCGTGATCGACGCCAAGCTACTAGAGGTGATCCCTAGTGTTATGACGACAACAAGTCGAGCAGTGCGCGAGGAGGCGTGCTGGATGCTGTCAAATATTGCTGGCGGTCAGGAGGAGCAGGTAGTCGCGATGATGAACGCCCCTGGAGTTATCAACGGACTGGTGGAGCAGATGGCGTGGGCCGAGTACGGCGTCAAGCGCGAGGCTACATGGGCGATGTGCAACATAATCGTACGAGCGAACCTCGACTTTATCAAGGAAGTCGTGCGGATGGGCGTGCTGCAGTCGTTCTGCCCGCTCCTGGACGAGTGGGAGGACCCGATGGTGGAGCTCGTCATCTTGGAGGCGATCGAGAGCCTGCTGCAGAAGGACCCGCAGGTGGGGCGCATAGCTGTCGAGGAGAGCGGCTGCCTGGAGAAGATAGAGGAGCTGTCCTATTACCAGAACGACGACGTGAGCAGCATGGCGTCGCAGCTGATAGACACGTGGTTCGACAACGCCGGCGACGAGGCGGACGCCACGCTGGCGCCGGCCGTGGTGGGGTCCGAGCAGACCGGCGAGGCGCTCAACTTCCAGCCCGTGCAGGGCGACGTCCAGTTTAACTTCACGCAGAGTTGATCGGCCTAGCACAGCCCAGCCTGGCCGAGTCCGCGTAATTTGCGAAGATAGCCATAAAGTGAACTCGCCCCTTGTTTCTCTTGACGAATTTCGTTCGTGGTTGCAGGTCGAAATGACACGCGCGACCTGATTAATCGACCCTTCCGACCGACCGACCAGCTGCGGTCGCTGGCAGCGAGTGACCTGCCCGCGGTCTTGCCCCACGCAGCACGCGCGATCTCGAAGCGTGGCATGATGTGTCAACAGTGCAGAGCCCAGCGCCGTCGGCCGCCGCGAGGCCAGCGCTTGCAAGTGTACGGAGCAGCGACAGCGGAGACCTCTCCGACGCAAGCCGCTTCATGCGCTCGCGAGACGACCGGACACATCATGACTCGTGGCGTCGCCCGGATTCCATTGGCAACGAGCGCGCATGTATCCGAGCGGAGCAGCAACGTCCGCCAGCAGGCCGAGCAGAGCAGATCAACTTGCCTTTGCTCTTGCAGTTGCAATGAGGACCATTGAGTCGTCCGGCCGCACCTGCCAAAGATACAGCGACTGCAATTATGCCCCACCTTGGTTTTGTGCAGTACGCCGCTGGACAGAGTATCGCGGCGGTCAGCGCACACGCATGCGCCGAAGCAGGAACATGCTGCAGTGCAGGAATTCAACGGCAATGACGCCAACGAACAGTGGGACGCGCCCGAAGGGACCCGAAAGATAAAACAAAGCAAGCGAGCGAGTCCTGCGTTGCCCATAGCGGCGCTACTGCTGCAGCAGAGCTTCGACGCGCACACATGGTCGCCTCTGTCTTTCTCGGTTGCGAGGCGAGGCCATCGTGAAGGCGACCATGTGTGCGCGGCCATGTGCCTCGTCGATTAAAAATCGCGCGTCGAAAGGCATACCATATAATACTATAAATAAGTACTCAGAATGTAAACAAACATAGTTACATGTAATTTTTTCACTATAAGCTGACTTACCGCATATCTTACCATTTTGTACTGCATCGTGATAAATTGTTCGAAGACGGATTAAGCCCAGAAAAGAGGCTTTTTGTCTGCTGATTAGTGTACCGCGGTAAACACAAATAGACTTGGCTTTTGTATGGCCGGTATCAGGACGCACCCACAAACAGCGGGAATGCAGGCCCTCGCCGTCTGGGCGATCACTTTGCAACTTTCCGCCTTGCGCGCACTCCAGCAGCCGCCGCAGTCTCCAGCTCGCCAGCCTTCCAGCTCCGCCTCGCCCGCCCCCCTCCCCAGCCCGCCCGCGCCGCCGTTCCCCCTTGAATGGTTGACCCCCCAGACTTATATGGCCGAGACTCATGCGTGGACCCGAGCGAACTGAGGCGAGCGTCGTCTCTGCAAGACGCGGCCGCGGCCGAGGAGACGCCGCCCTCCTCTTCTTTCTCCTACGCTGCAGCACACACTCCTAGAGCCAGCGGCGCCGCGCGCCACAACAAGCAACAACAACAGCAACAACTCTTACTGAATGAAGACGACAACGCCGACGACGACGCGGCCGAGCGCTCGCGCCGCTCCTCGCACCGCGACCGATTCATGAGCGACGCCGAGCGCCTCGTGGCCATGGATCCGCGCAAGACCCGCGATTCCTTCGCCCTAGTGGACCACCGAGAGGACCAGTGGGCCTGGTACGAGAAGCCCGTGGCCGCCATCCTCGAGGACTTCCAGGTCGACGCCGAGCGCGGCCTGGACGCTGACGACGCGCGCAAGCGCCTCGCCCAGAACGGGCCCAACTCGCTCGAGGCCGAGAAGAAGGCCCCCGTGTACGTCATCTTCCTGCTGCAGTTCACCAACGTGATCATCGGTCTGCTCATGGCGGCGGCCGTGGCCTCCATCGCCCTGCAGGAGTTCGTGGAAGGCCTGGCCATCATCGCCATCGTCACGCTCAACGCCGTCATCGCCACGATCCAGGAGCACAACGCCAGCAACGCCCTCGAGGCGCTGCAGAAGATGACGTCCCCGCAGTGCGTCGTGCTGCGCGACGGCGGCCGCCAGGTGCAGATCCCGAGCGAGCAGCTGGTCACGGGCGACATCGTCGTGCTCACGACTGGTGACATTGTGCCGGCCGACATCCGCCTCATCTTCAGCTCGGACTTCAAGGTCAACGAGATGATCCTCACTGGCGAGTCCGAGGACGTGCTCAAGAAGTACGACGCCGACATGAGCCGCAGCGAGAAGCTCACGGCCGACAACATGGTGTTCGCCTCCACTTCTGTCGCCACGGGCAACGCCACCGGCGTGGTCGTGGAGACGGGCATGAAGACCCGCGTGGGCTCCATTGCTGCCCTTCTCAAGGGAGGTAGGGGCGCCGATGGCTCGCGCCCCAACTGCTGGCGCCGCTTTGTGGACAAGTACTACCCGAAGATGACTCCTCTGCAGCAGAGCCTCCACCACTTGGGTGTCGTCATGGGAACCGTGGTGCTCGGGATCTGCGTCATTGTGTTCGTGGTCGGAATGGTCCGAGACAACGCCGACCCGAAAAACCCGTCACGCCCCGTGTGGCTCAACATGGTGATGGTCTCCGTGTCGCTGGCTGTAAGCGCAGTTCCTGAGGGACTGCCCATGGTGGTCACGATTTGTCTGTCCACCGGCACGGCCGCCATGGTGAAGAAGAACGTCCTCGTTCGCAAGCTCGCAGCAGTCGAGTCGCTGGGTGCAAGCTCGGTCATTTGCACCGACAAGACGGGCACTCTGACGGAAGGCAAGATGACGGCAGTGAAGATGTGGAGTGACTCGGTTGTGTACGACATCACCGGCACGGGCTTCAACCCAACCGGCGACATCCTTCGCAACGGCGTGAGTCAGACCAAGGCTTCCGTTCCGGTGCGCACGACACTGCTGTCTGCGGTGCTGTGCAGCAACACGAGCTTGCAGCAAGAAGAGAGCGAGACTGGTGCCCCCTTGTGGGTCCCTATGGGTAACTCGTCGGAGGCACCTCTTGTTGTCGCGGCCGCCAAGGCGGGTATTTGGCGTGAAGAAGCTATGAAGGCGTACCCACGAGTGACCGAGGTGCCGTTTTCGTCTACCAGGAAGATGATGATCACAGTTAACGAGGTCTCGGCGGGTGAACCGCACCTGGACATGCTACAACTTCCAGGAATGACCAAGTTTGTGGCGAACGTCAAGGGAGCCCCCAACTACATCGCTCAGAACTGCACCCAGCTGCTTCGTACGGATGGATCCGTCACGAAGATGCACGAAAGCGATCGCACCAGGATCTTGGAGGCTGTAGATGAGCTTTCGTCTCAAGCGCTGCGAGTTCTTGCCGTAGCCATCCGCCCGCTGGACATTTTGCCATACGCCGAAGACGAAGATGACATTGAAGCCAAGTTTGAGGCGCTCTGTGCCCCGCTCATCTTCGTCGGCCTTGTCGCCTCCATCGATCCTCCTCGAGAGGGCGTCAAGGATGCCATCAACACGGCTCGTCAGGCTTCGATCCGTACTGTGATGATCACTGGTGACTACCTCAAGACTGCTGTGGCTATTGCTCGCGACATTGATCTGCTGCAAAATGGTGCCGATACCGAAACGCAAGCGGTGGACTGTGGTGTGCTGCGCCCGCATCAGAACGTATATCTTCCCGATGCGGAGCTGGACGAAATCACTAGCCAAGTGTCGGTCTTCGCGCGTGCGAAGCCCGAAGACAAGATCGAGATTGTGAAGTCTCTGCAGCGTCAAGGGCACGTGGCCGCGATGACTGGTGATGGTGTCAACGACGCACCTGCACTCAAGGAGGCTGACATCGGTGTGGCGATGGGAATCACAGGAACTGCTGTTGCCAAGGGTGCCTCAGATATGATCCTGACGGACGACAACTTCTGCAGCATTGTTTCCGCCGTCGAAAAGGGCCGCGAGATCTACGGCAATATCCAGCGCTTCGTGTGCTTTCTCCTATCAACCAACTTCGGCGAGATTACGGTAATTTTCACGGCGATCGCCGTGGGAATGCCGAACCCGCTGGAGCCGCTGCAGATTCTAGTGCTCAACCTGTTCGCGGATGGTATGGCTGCTGTGGCTCTTAGCCTGGAAAAGGGCGATGGCACGGTCATGTCTGAGCGCCCTCGCCCTCGTTCGGAGCACATTATCCATGGCCGTCTGTGGGTGCTTGTGCTTTCAAACGCATTCCTGATCGCTTTCGGTGCATTGATCGTATTTACTATCGGTCTATATTGGAACTTCGAGAACGTTTTGCTGGACGATATCACCGCGGACATCGATGCTAATAGCGGCGAAGAAGCCTACAAGAATGTGGTGTGCTCGCGCTGGATGGGCATGGGCAATGGATGGCAGGCGTACAGCAATTGCGGCGCTCGTGATCTCGACGGAACCTACCTCTTCAACGAAAACATCCGCTCGCTGGACTACTACGAGAGCGACGAACTCCTCTGCTACGGTGGCGACTACGAGTGCGTGTCGGAAGGCACGTCGCGCTCGCAGACCATGGCGTTCATCTACATCACGACAATGGAGATGCTTCGTGCCTACACCGCCCGCAGCTTTACAAAGTCTGTTTTCAAGGACATGTTCAGCAACAAGTGGATGCAGATGGCTGCCGTGGGCTCAATCACGCTGACGCTATCTGTGACCAACATCCCTGTTATCATGGACGACCTCTTCGGCTTCGCGTACATCGAGTGGTACGAGTGGATGTTCTCGATGGTGTTCGCGCTGGTGATGGTTGCCTTCGGAGAGACATTGAAGTGCGTCTACCGTCGTCGTGATCGCGGAAAGGCTCGCAAGGCTGCTGAAGCCGAGTACGCGGGTATGGTGGAAGAGATCCGCAGTCTGCGCAACCACATCGAGCACCTGGAGGGCAAGTGGGAGACTGAAATGCAGCAGCTCCGCATCCGTGTGGGCTACGACGAACCCATGTCACATTCGCCTAACGGCAACTCGACTCTCACGTCGTCTTCCTCGTCCCGCTCGAGTGAAGAGGGCACAGTGCCGCTATAGGGGGACCATCGATTCTCTGTCGCCCCTGTTCTCGTCGTCGAGGCCCGAGGTGCAAATGCATATATTGCGTATGAATAGGCAGGTAGTGATCGACTGCGAGGGAAGTCGGTAGGTATATTGCCTGGAGGCAACAAAGCTAATGAAAATCCTGTTTGGATGGAACTCTTATCTAGTTTTTGCATTGAAAAATGTTGTTAAAATTGTTTGAACGGTATGCAAACAGAGGAATGGGAAAACATTCGCGTGACACGTTTGGGTCATCAAGTATCCTACCAACGTTGACCCTTGCAGGCTTGTCCGATCACATGACAATGGTGCCGGGGTCGGGGATACTGGCGGAGATGGCTTTATGCGGCAAGATGAGCCCGCCGTTGATAAACTTCTCGTCCTTTACCTGCACGTCCTCGCCGACGACGGTGATGCCCTCGATTCGGCACTAACGATCAGCAATAGAGCACACGTCAGCATCTTCCAGGCGACAAAAAGCTACCATGATGGTAACATGAAGAAGCACGTACCCATCGCCCAATAGTTGACCCCCATCCGATAATGCTCGACTGGATCCACGAGTTCGCGCGCACCGTCACACCGCGAAGCAGCGTAGTCCGGCTCAGTCGAACGCCTATCGACAGAAGTACATCGAGGGAAAAAAATGAGCACCTTCTACCCATCATGTGTTGACCGATCCAGCTTACATACCGTCCTCAATAACACACCCTGGACCAACGACAACGTTGGGGCCAATCAGACAGCCCTCGCCGATCACCGCCGTGGGGTCCACCATCACGTTACCGATAAACTTGGAGCCCGTGGACAGCGAATCCGAGTTGGAGCGCTCGAGGAAGTCGAGGTGCAGGCACATGCCCGAGAGGAAGTCCTTGGGCTGACCAATATCCATCCAGTAGCCGGGCAGCACCATCGAGAAAAGGTTGCCCTCGGCCGCCATCTGCGGGAAGATCTCCTTCTCGATGGACGTCGGGCGCAGCTGGATGCGGTCCAGCACCTCGCGGTTGAAGATATAGATGCCGGCATTAATCTTGTTGCCCACGTACTCGCGCGGCTTCTCCACGAAGCGCTGGATCTGGCCGTCGGCGTTCGAGATGACCACGCCGTACTTGGAGGGCTCGTCCACGCGGGTCACCATGAGGGTGCCCTCGCCCCCGTGGGCCTTGTGGAAGTCCAGGAAGTCCTGCAGCCGGTACTCGCAGATAACGTCGCTGTTGAACACGAAGAACGGGTCACCGTCGTCCAGCAGCTCACGGGCCAGCGCCAAAGGCCCCGCCGTGCCCAGCGGCTCGGTTTCGTGGGAGCACGAGATCTTGATCTGGTACTGTTTTGCATTATCATAATCAATTACATGTCAAAAATGATGTCCGTCAGAGACACGTGTCAATAATGGCTTGATCGCTTCGTGCAGCCTCCGAACCTTCTTCTCCATGGACTCGAGCGCCGCCAGCATCACCTGCGGCTGGTAGTTCACGGCCAGGATCACCTCCGTCACTCCGACCTGCGTTTTCGACAGAATAGCATTCAGTTATTGACAAATGTCAAAAATAAAAATCCTTTGACAAGATACACTGCGGGGAAGCTTAGCATGCTCTCTGTCGAGCACCAGCGCCACGCCCACGCACCGCCACGAGCGCCTCGATCTGGTGCAGCACGATGGACTTGTTGCAGAACTCCACCAGCGGCTTGGGGCACGACAGCGTCAGCGGCCGCAGCCGCGTGCCGAAGCCGCCCACGAGGATCAGCGCCTTCATCTTCGCACCTCGACACTTCGAGTTTGTATGGGGACGATCAAGCTGGATCATTGGAACCGACTAAGTACGACCATAAATATGTACCCAAATAGGGGTACATACGTAAAAGCTTCAACTTCAAATGATGAATAGTATCCACCTGGACAACTATGCTTGCTTGCTGGATAAGGCAGTAGCTAAGCTTAGGTCGTTGGGATCGGGACGCACGCAGACGCTGGTGATGGCCGCCTCCGAGATCTGAGTCGCGTCCCGATACTGAAAATAGGCGGCGGCGCTGACATGGGCATGAGCAAGAAGATGAGCAGGACGGACAAGCTCGGCGGTAGCTCTTAGTTGCCCACTGTCGGTGTATCAATGAAGCTGGTGATGATGAGGTGTACGGTAGTTAAAGGGCTCATCGCACTGCTGCTGCCGCTGGCTCGCGCCTGCATCCACGACCGACTGGACCACCGGGTGGTCGAAAGTCTCCAGCACTACGCCGACATCCACCCGTTGGATGTGAACGCGACGAACTTCGAGTCCGCGACGGCCGAGGACGTCTACCAGCCGATCCGCATCACGCCGTACTACGACGAAGACACGCTCAACCTCATCTCTGCGGAGAAGCGAGCGGTCATCTACAAGGTCATCCCCGATGCCATCGAGCGATTCCGGAATGCTCTGAGCGTCGTGCCCGTGCAAGGCAAACTGGCAGCGCAGCACTCGTGCTACTACCAATGGGATGCCACGCCTCCAGTCTGCGTCAATTTTGTCCAAGACGAAGCTTGCTTCGAGATGCCGATGCCCGCGGAGCATTTCGGCGCCACGCGCTACTGCAGCACCTGCCCCAACATTAAAAATGGTTGTCTTGGTGGCGATTGCGCCTATACGGCCGCTGGAGGCATGGAGGACACGGACTTCCTGCTCTACGTCCGGTCCATAACAACCGATAATTGCGAGAGCCGCACACTGGCCTACGCCTCGACGTGTCAGCTGGACCAATTCGACCGCCCCACCTTCGGAATGGCCAACTTCTGCCCCGAGATGATCAGCACGGCGGACGAAGACTACGACGCGCAACTCGCCACCGCCCTGCACGAAATAACGCACGCGCTCGGGTTCTCCGCCATCTTGTTTCCGTACATGCGCTACCCTGACGGAACTCCGCGCACTCCACGTGACGCGAATGGGATGCCACCCACGTATAAGTCAGGAACATGCCCCGACGGCTCGGAGATCAGCTACTACGTCGAACCCAGCGCCGACACAGTGCAGTACTCAACCGAGCGAGGCCACTCAGTCGCCAAGATGGTCACGCCCAATGTCGCCGCGTTTGTGCAGTCGCACTTCGGTTGCGAGTCACTGAGTGGAGCTGAGATCGAGCAGCAAGACGGAACTGGTTGCTTGGGTTCCCACTGGGAAGAACGTATCTTCGAGTCCGAGTACATGACCCCAGTGATCAGCTACCGCAACGTCTTCAGTGCACTGACCCTGGCGTACTTCGAAGACTCAGGATGGTACCGAGCGAATCTGTCTACAGCCGAGCGACTGCATTTCGGAGAGAACCGCGGATGCGCGTTTGCCACGGAAAAGTGCATCAATCCAGCGACTGGCGTATCCATTGCAAGCGATCACTTTTGTACCAGCAACACCGCTGAAAGCTGCTCCGTGGACGCGACGTCGCGGTCAGTCTGTTCGATCAGCTCGGGTGAAACAATCCCAAGCGAGTATCGATACTTTCCAGGCGCCCCGACCAAGGGAGGAGACGTATATGCCGACTATTGTCCGATCAATACCGGCTACTCGTACGGAGACTGCAGCGATGTCAGTAACGTGGAATTGGCCGATACTACAGGTATCAACATCCTGGGCGAGTCGTACGGCTCCAATGCCAGGTGTACAGCTAGCACGTTGCGCAGTGACGACGCGATCGCATCAGGGTGGAAGATGCCTCCTAGTCGTCCAACAGGGTGTTATGCTATGCGCTGCTACGACGACGGTAGCAGCAACGACCCGAGTCAAAGTATCATCGAGGTGACGATCCCTCGCAGCAACACAAATGATGTGGTTCAGGTGAACTGCTCATTTAAGGGAGAACAGGTATCGGCGCCGGGCTTCACTGGGTGGTTGACATGTCCGGATCCGAATGTCATCTGCGACTCGCTTGAAAGCTACGACTTCGTGGACGACTCGGGTACAGGAAGTAGTGGCTCAAGTGCGAGTGCAACAGGTTCAAGCGGCTCAAGTGCAAGCTCGAGCGCAACAGGGTCAAGCACTTATTCAAGCGGGTCAAGCGGCCATTCGAGCGGAACGGGGTCAAGCGGCACAGGATCAAGTGACACCGGTTCAGGCACTGCCAATTTGCGCACCACTAACGCAGCACACGCGTTACACTCAGGAGCGACTTGGATTGCGCACCTGCTAGCATTGACTTTGCTGGTTTGGATATTTTATTAAGCACGTGCATTAATTCATCAAGTGCAAGCGGCATCAAGGCGCTCGAGTATCATCATCGCTTCGACAGATTAAAAAAACAATAAGTCCCTATCCGATAATCATAAAAATGAATGGACTTCCTAAGCTTATCGAAATTCACTAGAAACTTTACGGATGCGCTCCCTGCATATTGAAGGAGGCGATCGCTATCAGACTGAGTGAGGCCTTAACTTAGCTTGGATTGCATTTCCGCTTATCTTCGAGACCTGAGTCTGACACTGAAAATAGGCGAGGAGTGCTTCAATTCTTCGAATGCGACACCCATGTCATGGAACTTGGTGGATCGGCAACGATGACCTTACTTGTCGATTTCCTCTGCATCAACGAGGCTGGCGATGGCGGGGAGCGTCAAAGCCCTGGTCATCCTGCTTTTTGCTCTGCTTCAGCTGGCCCAAGGGTGCATCCACCACAAGTTAGATCACAAGGTAGTCGACAGCCAGCAGCACTACGGAGACATCCACCCATTCGACGTTGCCAACAGGAAGCGGAGGCTCGATGGGGAAGACGTGACCAACTTCCAGACGTACGAGTCTGCTGTAGCTGACGACGCCTACCAACCGATCCGCATCACGCCGTACTACGACGAAGCCACGCTCAGCCTCATCACGGAAGACGAGCGAACGGTCCTCTACCAGGTCGTCGGCGACGCTATCGAGCGGTTCCAGAATGCACTGAAGGTCGTCCCAGTCCAAGGCAAGTTGGCTGCTCAGCACACGTGCTCCTCCTACTATCCGTCAACGCCTCGCGTCTGCAGCGGCTTCGTCAAGAACGAGAAATGCCTGGAGATGGTGATCCCCGCTGAGCATTTCGGAGCCACGCTCAAGTGCAGCACCTGTCCTAGTGAGGATGGCTGCAAAGGTGGCGACTGTGAATACTCAGACGCTAACGGGGTTGAGAATACCGACTTCCTGCTCTACGTCCGGTCCGCGGATACCGTCAACTGCGGCTCTCGGACACTTGCCTACGCCTCGTCCTGCCAGAAAGATCAATACGACCGCCCTACCTTCGGGATGGTCAACTTCTGCCCTACCCAGATCAGCACATTGGCTGAAGACTACGAGTCGCAGGTCTCTACGGCCATGCACGAAATGACCCACGCGCTTGGGTTTTCAGCGCAGTTCTTCCCTCTAATGCGCTACCCTGACGGCACTCCGCGGACCCCACGCGACGAAAAAGGCAACCCGCCTACTTACAGGTCAGGAACTTGTCCCGACGGCTCGGAGATCAGCTACTACGTCGAACCCAGCGCCGACACAGTGCAGTACTCAACCGAGCGAGGCCACTCAGTCGCCAAGATGGTCACGCCCAATGTCGCCGCGTTTGTGCAGTCGCACTTCGGTTGCGAGTCACTGAGTGGAGCTGAGATCGAGCAGCAAGACGGAACTGGTTGCTTGGGTTCCCACTGGGAAGAACGTATCTTCGAGCCTGAGTACATGACGCCGGTCGACAGCTTCCGCAACGTCTTCAGTGCACTGACCCTGGCGTTCTTCGAGGACTCTGGATGGTATCGCGCCAATGTATCGGCCGCTGAGCGGATGCACTTCGGAGAGAGCCGCGGATGCGCGTTTGCCACTGAGAAGTGCATCAACCCAGAGACTGGCGTGTCCATTGCAAGCGACCACTTCTGCACCAGCAACAGCGCCGAAAGCTGCTCCGTGGACGCGACGTCGCGCTCCGTTTGCTCCCTTCTGGACGGTGAGAGTATCCCAAACGACTATCAGTACTTCCCGGGTGACCCGACCAAGGGAGGAGACTCGTACCCCGACTACTGTCCGATTAACGTCGGATACACTTACGGAGACTGCAGCAATGCCAACAACCTGCAGCTAGCGGGCCAAGCGGAGGTCAACATCCTGGGCGAGTCGTATGGCTCCAGTTCCAGGTGCACAGCTAGTACGCTGCGCAGTGAAGACTCGACCAATTGGGTTGTGAACGCTTACCGCCAAACGGGATGCTACGCAATGCGCTGCTACGCCAGTACAGCCAGCAACGACTCGAGTCAGAGTACGATCGAGTTGACGATCCCTCGTAGCAAGACAAACGACGCGGTTCGGGTGAACTGCACGACGAAAGGCGAACAACTGTCGGTGCCGGGGTTTTCAGGCTTGCTGACGTGTCCGGACCCAAATGTTATCTGCGATTCTGCTGCTAGCTACAGTTTCGTACACGACTCGGGTACGGGAGGAACCGGTTCAGGTACTGTTAACCTGCGTTCCCCCAACGCGGCAACCACACAACACTCAACAGCGTCTTGGGTCGCACACTTGGTTGGGCTGTTCGTGGCTGTCTACGCGGCTGCGCCCTAGTTTTGATGAACACCCTACTGTAAATTCATTAGAAGAAAGGAAAGATTAATTATTTTGACGAAGTACATCATTATGTTTGGGCTTTTTCCGATCGATACCTTCGAGCTTGTTTGTATGTTCTTATAGAAGTACAAACTGAGTCAAGATTTTCAATGGCACCGGACGATTTTTTTTTCGCGGTATCGGGTATTTCACGGAACGGAGTGCCCGTTGTTGAAGAACTGCTACCACAAGTTCTGTTAAGAGCTTAACTTAGCCATCTTTGCGTTCGTGCACCCTCATCCTCATCCTCACGCATCCACCTTCCTCCTTCTCCAGGACCTTAGTCGAGTACTGAAAATAGTCAAGAGCAAAGCGCCATGACGCGGATCGGCTCAATGGAGCGGAGGGGGGTGGTGATCTTAGTTGCCGATTGCCTTCACGTTGGCAATGGCGAGCTGTATCAAGGCAGCGGTTGGTGTCTGTATAGTGATCGCGCAGCTGGCCCAAGGCTGCATCCACGACAAGCTAGATCACAAAATCGCCGAAAGCCACCAACACTACGGTGACATCCATCCGTTTGACTCGCACAATCGGAAGCGGAAGCTCGCGGCCGAAGACTCGACCAACTTCCAGACGTACGAGTCTACAGCTACAACGACGGATGATGCCTACCAGCCGATTCGGATCACTCCGTACTACGACGAAGATACGCTCAGCCTCATTTCGGATGAAAAACGAGTAATCATCAACAAGATCATCCCGGGCGCTATCGAGCGCTTCAAGAACGCCTTGAAGGTCATCCCGGTTCAAGGCAAGCTGGCTGCCCAACACACCTGCCGTACGCAATGGCTCACGGCGCCTCCGATCTGCAAGACGTTCGTGCAAAACGAGAAGTGCCTCGAGATGCCCATTCCGACGGAACATTTCGGAGCCACGCGCAAGTGCGATTCCTGCCCCAAGGAAGGATGCACCGGTGGAATCTGCACGTACACGGAGGCTCAAGGCGTGGAGAATACCGACTTCCTGCTCTACATTCGGTCGGCGATCACAGACTACTGCGGAGCTCGCACACTCGCCTACGCTTCATCCTGTCAGAAGGACCAGTACGACCGCCCCACCTTCGGGATGGTCAACTTCTGCCCCTCGCAGATCAGCACAGCGGCCGAAGACTACGACTCGCAAGTGGCGACGGCCATGCACGAGATCACCCACGCGCTTGGGTTCTCCGCGCAGTTCTTTCCTCTGATGCGCTACCCCGATGGCACCCCGAGGACCCCACGTGACGCTAATGGACGACCGCCGACTTTCAAGACGGGGACGTGTCCGAATGGCTCGCCCATCGACTACTACGTCGAACCAAGTACGAACACAGTGCAGCACTCCACCGAGCGAGGCCACGTTGTGTCCAAGATGGTCACCCCCAAAGTGGCTGCGTTCGTCAAGGCCCACTTCAACTGCAGCTCTCTGACTGGCGCTGAGATCGAGCAGCAGGACGACTCGGGCTGTCTGGGATCGCACTGGGAGGAACGCATCTTCGAGCCCGAGTACATGACCCCAGTGGACAGCCACCGCAACGTCTTCAGCGCACTGACGCTGGCGTTCTTCGAAGACTCGGGATGGTATCGTGCAATCCCGTCAGCAGCTGAACGACTCCACTTTGGAGAGAACCGAGGGTGCGCCTTTGCCACTGAGAAGTGCATCAACCCGGACACTGGGAAATCTGTGGCGGCCGATCACTTCTGCACGAGTGACAGCGCTGAAAGCTGCTCGGTGGACGCCGGATCCCGCTCTGTTTGTACGATATCCACTGGCAAGTCGATCCCTCGCGACTATCGGTACTTCCCGGGTGCCCCCACGAAAGGAGGCGACGACTTCGCCGACTTCTGCCCCATGAACGTCGGCTACACGTACGGAGACTGCAGCAACCCCGCCAACCTCGTCTTCCCGTCCAAAACCAAGATCAACATCCTCGGCGAATTCTACTGCTCCAACTGCAAGTGCACAGCTACGACGCTGCGCAGTGACGACTCGACCAACTGGCTCGTCAACTCCAGACGCCAGACTGGATGCTACGCGATGCGGTGCATCGCCCCCGCCGACGGCAGCAACGACCCCAGCAAGACTATAATCGAGTTCTCGATCCCTCGCAGCAAGACGAAAGACGCGGTTGCGGTGAACTGCACTTCAAAGGGGGCTCAGCTGTCGGTCCCTGGGTTCTCCGGCCTCCTCACGTGTCCAGATCCCTCCGTCATTTGCGATTCGGCCGAGAGCTTCACGTTTGCTGACGATATTACCACGTCGACCAACTTGCGCTCCTCAAGCGCAACACATGCAGCAACATCTTGGCTCACGATGCTGCTGGGATGGGCCTTTACCGCTTATGCTCTGTGGCAATGAGCACCAATTTTTGATAGCCAAACATTATTATTCTAGCCTTGCCTCGGCTGTACATACCAATAGAAACTTTTGTAACATTTCAGCTCGTGTTAACCCCAAAAGTATTCGAGACGATCATTGAGCAGCCATGTATTCACAAAGCAGTGTTGGAAAATGAGCGCGTACTGCTCGAATTCCACGGCACCAACGTTGGAAAGTTGCTGGACGGGAGGCTCCGCTGTGCGCAATTGCTGGAGAGTGAAGGATACGATGAAAGTGGACGGGGCTTTGGGGAAATGGTCGCGGAATTCCGATGATCCAAGGCGATGGGCAGTTTTGAACGACGCAGCAAGTGCCTCAGCACAAGCTTTCGCATTTGATAGTGACACCAAGCCGTCCACGAGAACAGAACTTCGCTGGAACGAAGCTTGAAGCTCACTCTCTTGCTCGCGTAGGTAGGTCATACGGCCCTTGACTTGCTGTTCTTCTGCCTCGGTCGTTGCTTGCGCTAAGAGCTGCAGATTTACAAGCAACGCAGGGATTAGTACACTCAGGTATCAAAGCATTCTCAGATCTGACGAAGTAGGTTACCTCTCGAAGCCACACGGGCAACACTGTCGGGAGCCTCCAGGAGCCAGCCTGGCAGTATCGAATTTGTTCCTGGGCTTCGCTTGAAACAGCTTTTACGTCACTGGGCCTTGCATCTGATTGAATCGGATCGTGTGAAATGAAGCTGCATATCCCAGAAGAGGAGGGCATTTCCGTGGCTTCAAGCTCCGATGTGTCCGTAGGACTCTTGTCGCTCATTAACAACGATAGATGAACTAATTGGTTCGTCACTTCCGTAGTAGTGATCCTTTCGTTGGGCTTAGTCTCTTGAACGTTTTCGTCACCCGTTGTAGGCAGACCTGGCGGCACTTCTTCCCCTGATGGTAGAGCTTTCTGTATGAAGCCGTGATGATAAGTGTATCGCTCTAGAATCGTTCCTTGCGTGAAGAACTTCCTTGACCGAATATCCGAATTCGAGGCATGCAACGGACCTACCACGTACTGGAACAGCATCAGTTTTTCTGCTACGGACAAGTTCGGGAACGTCGAGTTGATAGGCGCTCTCTCATTGTCGTGAATTTCACGAATAACCGAGTTAAAGCTTTGGTAGCGACTTCCACTGAGAAGAACGACGTGCTTCCTCGCGTCGGATTCTTTGCCAGTCGTCGGATCTACCCGTTGCCAGTTGAACAGAATTTCCAACAAGCGCTTGACGTCTTTCCTGTAAAATCCAAACTTTCTGCGGTAGGCGGAATCCACACACGCCTTCTCCCTGATGTCCTCAAGAGATTCATCAAAGAGAGCCTCGGTCGACACCAGCAATAACGTTGACAATGCCGGCGTCTCCAGCAGCATCTGAAGAGCTCCCCACGTGGATTCGTGAATAGATGAGCATTCTAGTTCCTCTGTCGGGAGAACAAACAGCCCGAAGGCTCCGAAGCAATGACTCAAAGGTTTGCACCATCGAAATTCATCACCACGCAGACGCTTGGAAGGGGGCAGCAGCAAATTCTGGTATCGCACATGGAATTTCGCCAATAGTTCGCGAACATTGACGTTCTGCTGGTCTTCGCCCTCTTGGTTGTTCGCTGGGAGTTGGTCGTTTTCATTAGTCAAGATGAGGTGTGCACCGTGGGCGAGACTCTCGCGGATACCAGGCGTGTTCCACGCTGATCGGTACATCTCGCGGAACTTCCTATGAATCATAGCGGTGGTGAGCACTTCGCTCTCATTGATCCCGTCGACTTGAGTGGGAGAGGCCATGTTGCTACCGGCGTATACTAGCGCCTCGTGGATGTGAGGGTTTGACTCAGGGAAGAACTGTCCGCCGAGATGAATCGCCAGATTTAGACCGACAAGCGGCATCTTGACTGTGTTCTCCTGGATCGTTTGCCACAAATTGGCGGCGTCCTTCTTGTCTTCAGACAATATTTCTGGGATATTGACAGCGCCATTTTCGTTTCCAAGGGCTACAACGTCGAATTGTTGCGGGGATTTCGCCACTGTTGTAAAACTTGCTTGAAATAGTTCGGAATGCTGGACATTCTCAAACGACAGTCGATAGTAGTGTCCTGAGCGCAAGTGCGTGATGAAGAACGAATTGGCTTGGTCGGCGAAGAACCGCTGGAACACGCGACGGCTCTCCCGAGTGAGTGGGTTCTTCACCAAACACACAACGTCAGCGTATCGGTCGACCTCCAGAAGCACAACCGCACAGAACTCGTCCACCCACCCAACCACTGGCCCAAGCAGAACCTTGGGAAGGTTGTAGAACTGCTTGTCTTTCCCTACTCGACAAGCCTCAATGGTGTTACCCTGTCCACTCTCCACTCTCAAGTCGAGAAAGCACTTCTTGTTGGCCACTTCTTCAACGTGTTCAAACTCAAATCGACCATGGAGCAGTCCGCTCCTCCTTGGTATCACAGAGTCATAGGGTGTGGCTGAAATTGCTCCAATTGTGAATTGCTCGGAGTCCGTCCTCAGCTTCGTGTCCTTCACGCGCATCCTGGCAAAGCAGCGCGCTGGGTTGGCACCACCAAGCACGATGAACTGGCGATTGGGCTGCTGGAGCTTCCAGTCGAAAAGTTGAGAGAGTAAGCGCGCTTGGGCCGATTTATTCGCGCTCCACGCCGTCTCAATTTCCTCGGAGGTGTCAACCACGGAGCTTTTTGCGTCAGGAACGAGGTCGTCTATGAGCGGAGCTTCGGAGCACAGCAGGAGGAGCTGGACACTAGCGCGCGCGAGCGTCTCCTCGATGAACCTCCACTGCACGTTGCTCAGCAGCTCATTCTCTCGCGCTTGAGACCCGCCAGGCTCCAACCTGCTACTACGTAAGTCAAGAACGAGGACGCAAATGCTCCCAACCTCAAACACAAACTCTTCTCCTCGCTGCGGCGCCAGCACTTGGTTGTAGCTTACCAACTGCTTTTCCAACTTCGCCTTCTCCGCCTCCAAAGCTCGCAAATTTTTCTCCACGCGTCTGGCGCCTTCAATTTCGTGTCGTTTCTTCTGAAGCTCCAGTTCCTCCGCGGTTTTCGGGATCTGAACAGACAACGCGAAGATTTGAGCTGTCGACGCCAACGCTGTCTCCGCGAGCGCTAGTAACTCCACCTAACCAAACCAGTAAAATCGTTAGACCACTCACCGTTTGTTCGGAGAGCAGCAATTGCACTCACCTCCCGCTCGACGAGCTGCTTGAAACCATCGTCCCACAACTGCCGCTGGTATTCGTGAAACAGTCGTCGGGCGCAGCGCGTAACAGTTCGAACCACTTGCATCCGCAGCGTCGGCTGCTCGTGGTCGATGTAAAACTCGTCACGCGTGGTGAACCGCGGATAGATGTCAGCATCGCTCCACATCATGAGGTTGCAGGCGTTCGCCAGCACGAACTGCAGATGGGGCGAAAGCGTCCACTGCGACCGGTACGCAGAGCGAAGCACCTCCAGCGCCTTCATCTCCACCAGCGCCCAGTCTGGCTGCGCTGCAGCATCACTCGATGCTCCCTGTCCATAGAGCAACAGCAACTGCACCGCCTTGTCGAACATCCGCTGCATCGCAACCTGTCCGCCCAAATGCAGCACGATCTGCGTCTCGCCTCGCTCCACGCGCTCCCGAACGTCCTGCCACAAGTTCGCCTCCCCGCTCTCAATATCAAACACGTCGTCCCCACTAACCACCGCGACGTTCAGCTTGCTGCCGTGCTCCAAACTCTGCGTCCGAAACGTGCCGCGCTTTAACTCGACGTCCTTGCTCCGAATGCCTCCAAAGGTGACAGTATAACTTTTGCCAGGCACCAGCCTCTCCAACACGAACACCACGGGGCGATCGGCTTCACACTGCACTGCGACTCGATGCTGCGGCAGCTCCACCATGGAGTTCGTGGCCGTATCCAGCGTCGACACGTGCGCCGTCACCAGAGCGCGTCGATCCACTTCCAGCAGCACCCGCGCTCGCTGGAACTCCACCTTCCCCACCACCGGCCCCAGAACCACCTTCACATCTGTGAACCCATGGCAAAACAAGGAGAACCCCCAGCGTTAAACCACTCATGTAGCATCAAAACTGAAGGGCTATCGGACAAGTTGATCGATACCCTCTCGCGTGTTAATTATCACGTTATCCACTGAAATTTGGCCGGGCCGGAGAGCGGGAGGAGGGCGACAACGAAGGCTCAGCGCTTGCAACGACCGATGCATGTCCGCCAGCTCCTCTTTGAGCCTGGCGGGCTCCATCTCGCCACTCGGAGCATTCCCCATGATGATACACCGCGACTCCCCAAAGGTCAACTTGAAGTGGGTCTACTGTGAATATTGGGTTGTGTACACCACATCGTGCTGCTCAGTGTTGAATATCGAGCCCAATGCTGCTGGACAAGAGGAAGGAGGTGCTGCGGCTGTACCGCGAGATCCTGCGCACCACGCGCATGTTCCCGCACCGCAACGAGCAGGGTCAGCTCTGGTCGGACGTGCTACAGAAGAATGCGCGCATGGAGATCGAGCAGAACCGCTACGAGACGGTAATATACCCATTTAGTCCAATGCAATTATGACAATAACTGATCCGTAATGTTATATTCGTAAAATTATTTTTCAATGTAGGACGGAGAGACCATCTCCAAGCGCATTCTATTCGGCTGGAAGTGCTTGCAAGAGGTCCAGGAGAAGGTAATACGGCTTTCCAAATGGGGATATCAAAGCTAGCTGCTCATCTTTTTTTATTTCTTGTTGTTTTGCTGTAGGTGATGGAGAAGCACGAGGAATTGTCCAACAACTTGGATAATGACAAGAAAAAGTAGCCTGGAGAGGATTGCCACCGGTTAGAGCCAAGTCAGCACTGTGCTGTTGCTTCATTATCAACAGTGGGGGGACTTACCTGCACATTGAAGACGGGTTCACTTTGTTTCCCTGTCGATTTTCTAGGTAAAACATTGAAATCAGAAGGTTCTATTCACGACTTAACGGTCACAATAGAGGCATGAAGTGCTGGTTACTACGGAACTCGAGGTAGAGCGTGAAGAGCACGTGCAGCGACTCGTAGACGTTCTTGTGTACGGGGATATCCAGCAGCGCGCAGATGACGCGCACGTACTGTTCGAGACCCATGTCCAGGTCGGCGCTGGGCAGCGTCGTCTTGCTCAGCAGCTCCTCGAACTCTTCTGGCCAGACCTGCATGAGGCTCTCGATGTCGGGCATTGTCTTGGTGTAGTGGACCTGTGGCGGTGGCTTCGTGCGATGCAGGTCGGCGATGGATTTGATCCAGCGGTCGATTTCTCGCGGGGACTTCTCGGCGTTCTCGATGCTGCGGACGACAATGTCGCCGTGTTTCTTCTTGGACGTGGAGCGCAGCTGTAAGTCCAAGACCGTTGCGTCAGATTGAGTCAAGCTCGGCTCGTCCAGCATTTTCAGTCCAAGTTGGTCCGCTTGGCCGTCGGGGCGTGGAATCTTCAAGAAGGCGTCCATATCCCCCACCGCTGGGATATACTCAGGGATGAAGCACTTGAGTCGCGTCTCCAGCTCGATCTCTTGCGCCTTGAAGCGTCCAATGTACTGAAACAGCTCGCGGATTTCGTGGGAAACCTTCAAGTGTGCGTAGTCGCTCTCCTTGTAGCCGCCAGCGTTGGCCATCATGGCCGCGTGGTTCGAGCTGCCTCCACCAGCACTAGCAGCTCCCGTTCCAGCGCTGCTGCTCGCGTGTGGAGCTGCAGCTGAAGGCGCGTGAGACGTGGACTGGGACTCTTCTCCTTCGTCGTCGTCATCATCGTCGTCGTCATCGTCGTCGTCACCACTCTCCGAGTCCTCGGAGGAACTAGCAGACTCGTGTGCAGGCTTTCGCGCCGGCTCCGGGCGCTTGTCTGGAGCTGCAGCTGCAGGCTTCGGTGCTGGAGCTGCCGCCTCCACGCTAACCTTCTTACTCTCACTCTGCATTGGCTGCGGTGGCTGACGCGCTGGCGCTGCGGACGGCGTCGGTTGACTCTCCTTCGTGTCGTGTCGAGCCTTGGGGCTCGGCTGGCCGTTGGTGTCGACGCTGTCGCCCGAGTCGCTCAGATCGACCTCTTCGTCGAACGGTTTGTTCTTCATCTCGTTGCCCACTGCAGTCGACGCCGACGACGCGCCGCCCTTTGCGTCCCTCGCGTTGGTGGATCCTAGTGCGGGTTTCTCGGACGCAGCGGCCGACGTCTTCTTGGGGCTCTCAACCTCCTGCACGCTCTCGGACAACTCGACCGCCTCGTCGAACGGTTGATTCTTGAGCGCTTTGCCCGCGCCCGGCTGCCTCTTGGGCGAGTTGGGGTCTTCGGACGCGATGCTGCCCTCCGACTCGCTCAGGTCCACGGCCTCGTCGAACGGTTGGTTCACCAGCGTACGCTCCGAGCCTGCGGCCTTGACGGCCGAGGCCTTGGCTCCGTCCTTGGCTTTGCCCTTGCGGTCGTCGTCCGACTCGGACATGTCCTCCTCGCTCGAGTCCTCCTCGCTGCCGCTGTCCGAGATGTCCTCGTCGCTGCCGGAGTCGTCTTCGTCAGCGTGCTTGGACTCGCGCTTCGACATGGTTAGAGGTAGAGTTGCTTAAGGCCGAAGGTGGTGAGGTGGGGTAAGACTGGGCTCTGTAGCGTCGCGCGTTATGATCTCTCTCGTCCTTTTGGAGACTGCTCGAGATATCGCGTCCGTTCACGATCACGAAAGCCCCAAAGTAAAGTTGAATGGGTCAGTGCATGTGCTTCTACTTGAAGAGTTTTGCTTTGTTAGTGTGTTTAGTTGGCTCTTGCGACTCTGGTGTCGCAGCCTTCACTCTTGACAAAGCTCTTGGCAGCGAACGTCGCCAGCTTCTGGACGCCGACCTGTGCGTACGGTAGTACAAAGCTCGGGAAGACGGAGAAGACGTGCGGCATGTCGTCGTGCACGTCCAGCTCCCAGTTGGTCACTCCGTCCGCCTTGGCCTTGGCTGCTAGACGATCGCCATGCTGGAAGATGTAGTCGAGTCGGCCGAGCTGCAGCAGCACAGGTGGCAGGCCGCGCAGATCGCAGTGCGCCGACGACGCGTCCGCCCACGTGCGCGGGTCAGTGTACGTCGGGTGGTAGGCGAGGGTGAAGGCCTTGCACATGGGTCGAGACAGGAAGCAGTGCGGCGCGTCCGGCTCGTCGCCCGTGAGGTCGACGGCCGGGGCCAGCAGCATGGCGGCCAAAGGCAGCAGCTCCGGGCTCGAGTCGCGCACGCGCAGCATTGTGGACATGACGAGGCCCCCGCCAGCGCTGTCGCCCGCCAGGATGATCTGCGACGGCTGCAGCTTCTCGTGCTGCAGCAAGTAGTCTCGGTACAGCGCCACGGTGTCCTGCGGGGGCGTCGGGAAGCTGCACTCGGGCGCCTTGCGGTAGTTGCCAAGGAGCACGTCGACGCTCAGGTCCCGACCGCTTCGCAGCTTCAACTCGCTCTCGATCGTCGCTGCCAGCTCCGCGCCCAGCGACGTGTAGAGTCTCGGACTCAGCACTGCGAACCCGCCGCCGTGCAGATACAGCACTACCAACCGCTTGGCGCCGCGCGGCCGAAGCTGTTTGTTGTGCAGCCAGACGTGCTCCAGTCCGTTGAAGTGCACGGCTTCGAGGCTGCGGTTGAAGCGGTGGCAGGAGAAGCAGCCCAGTAGAGATCCCAAGAGGTCGCTCTGAGCACGGACCCACTGCGCGTGGCTCTCGATGGCTATGCGTTCGCCGTACGTCTCGGTGCAAACTCGGAGTACAGTGTGGAGGAGCTCGAAGCGGAGCGACCAGTTGGGGAACTTGGTGGTACGACCTCGAGCCACGTACTGCATGAACGTCTTGGAAACCACGGTAACAACGCGCATGAACACGAAACCCAGCTCCCATGCGAGTTGGCGCAACACAGCGACGATGGAATACACCACGGCGGCAATGAAAGCCACGCAGAGGAGTTTCTGGCGGTGGGCGCTGTCGACGAAAACACTCTACAGTATGATCGCCAGGACGAGCAAAGCTGCGTGACGGTGGGTCTCGAGCATGGCCATGTAATACTATCGTGAGGGGGGGGGGGGGCAGCGACGCTTTCAGGCAGGAAGAAGACCAACGTCGTGGGCCGAACTGTCGTAGGCCAAAGACGAACACTTGTGCAGCCGAACGCAAGGCGTAGAATGAGAGGAGCGCTGAGAAGAACGAAGCACAGCTTCGATGGAGCCATATCCATCCCAAAGTTCCAAGCCGTGAGGTAGATATCACATCTGTGTTGCATTCGAATACCGCAGTGCCTCTCAAAGCCTCCTTCCCGCAGACTACAGAGCGCAACGATGGACCGCCATTATTTCCCCTTTCGCGTAAACTACCACCAAGTACAGTGTAGTGCTGATGCTAATAGGAAGCAGGGTCCTTGTGTAGCTATGGCATGATCCGGCAGCCGGAGCTTTTTGCTGTAACGTCACTGTCTTGGAGAGAAACTTAGTGACAGGTGCAACCGTCAGCTGACTTGACTTGACTATGGCTGGCGTCGTCAAGGCCGAGCCGGGCGTGAAGCTCGAGGCCGCGGGCGGAGAGGAGGAGCAGCCGCCGCCGTGGGAGGACGCGTACGCGCGGCACCTGGCGCTGGTGCTGTCGTCGCTGCTGTTCGAGCGCGCGGACTTCCGCGAGCTCTTCTCGGCGCAGGAGCTGGCGCGCGCGTCGTGCTTCCTGACGGACCTCAAGCCCTTCGAGCAGCAGCTCTACGCGCGGCTGCTGCAACGCCGCGGCCCGTGGTTCAAGACGACGTCGCTCTTCCGATACTTTATCCGAGAACAAGATATCAAAAGACAGAGTGAGCTACAAGAACGAGAAGGTTTAGAACAAGAAGAACAAGAAGATCATCAACAACAAGATAAAGGTAAAGATAAAGAAGGAGAAGAAGAAGAAGAAGAAGAAGAGAAGCAGCTCTTGCCAGTCAACGAACAGGTGCAGGACGTTCTCCACGTGATGATCGAGGCTGGGTTCCTCCAGAAGTTCCCAGTCACTGCAGCCGCGTCGCCTAAACGCACCAAAACCGTCGCTACAACTAGCCCCTTGCCCCCTGGCAGGAAGCAGAAGCAGGAGCTGGAGAGGCTGGACGCGGCGCTCGACGCCATTGAGCGCTGTGCGACGGCTCCGGAGCTAGCGACGCTGTACAAGAAGATGACGGGCAGCAAGAAGCACATCGCCAAGGCGGACCTCATGGCCGCCATCAAGAAGGTCGTCAAGACCCAGAGGCGCATCGACGGATCGAGGATCCCAGTGGCTCAGCTCATGCAGCACATTTGGCTCGAGTCGTATCCTCTGGCTGGACGGAACAGCTCCGACGTGATGGTAGTGCGCTTGACGCCTGCGACGCGGGACTTGATGCTGCGGATGCATCGATTGTTCTACTTTGTGTCGACGCCTCCGTTTAACGCGACGTCGTTGATGCCGCCTCAATCGGAGGACGCTGGTCAGTTGATAGCGTTGGCTGCGCATAAAATTCGACAGGAGCCGACGCAGTGGCCGGGACTCATGGTGTTTTTCAAGAAGGTCGCGTACCCAGAGTACAAACTGTCCACGGGCTCAGACGCTGCTGCTCAAAGGACCAATTCTCATCGTGTGTTCCCATCGTCGGAGGCGTATGTGAGCTACGAGGTGGCGCATCAGCTGCATCGTATTATGAGCGTCGTGGAGCAGTGCATCCAGGTCGTGACACCCGAGAAAGAGTACCGGGAGCCAGACCTGGAGCTCAAGTTGATGCTCTCGGACGGCCCGCCGGTGTTTCTCGCGTATCAGAGGCTTTTGTACATTATTTATGAAGATGAGGAGGCTACCGAGAGTGAGGAAGACGGATGTGTCATTGTTGAGGGACATTCAAGACAAGGGGAAGACAACCCTGCGACGGATTGGCAGACGCGCAGCTGGGAGCAATTCTACTGCGAGATTGATAAAATGCAGTCGCTGGATGACCTGGTGCTGGCTAGCAGAGGCTGTCTTCAGGCGTATCTGAAGTGGATGAAGGCGGCTGCGTACGGCTTGTCGGGGGTTCCCGTCTTCTTTTCCAAGTGCAACGCTGGATATCACTTGGTGCGTATACTGCACACTGCAGTTGGTCTGTACGAGAAGATGCGCAAGTATCAGATCGCTACATTGCTGCTGAACGAGTTGCTGGCCGCCCCATTTCTCGAGCGCAAGCGCGGCTACTGGTGGGATCGGCTAGCCCTCAACTTGGAGCACTTGAAGTGTACAGACCAAGCTCAAGATGCGTGTGTTAACGCGCTGGAGGACCCGCACGTGCTGGCAGCAGACCGAATCGCGCTCGACAGACGCTTGAATCGGTTGCAGCGTCAAAAAGACAGGATCGAGTCCTTCTCCACCACTGAGATGCTACTGCAAAACACCGGCACGAGCATGATCACTCCGTGCAATGAGCACAATGACGACAACGATGAAGAGAAAGCGGTGTCCGCGGAGGCACGCACTACCTACAACTACAGGCAAAATCACATCGTGGGCCGTCCACTGAACCGCCAAATGGGCGAGAAATCGCGGTTCGTGGGTTACGACGACGAGCCCTGTACAGTCGAGCAGCTTGTGCTCCAGTACTACCGGGACCACTACAATGGTGACAACCTCGGTGACGAGGTGTCTGCTGAGAAGGTGAAGACTGGAGGCTGGTACGGACTCCACTCGGAGGGGTCGGTGCTTAGAAACTTGTTCGGCGTTTTGATGTGGGACGTGCTGTACGCGAGCATCCCGGACGTCTTCCAGACGCCGTTCCAGTCCGCGCCGCTGGATTTCGGGTACGCGGATGTGTTTTACGAAGTTCGACGTGACCTGATCGAGCGCCGGATATCTCAAGTGAAGGAGGAGTGGTCATTCGAGAAGCTGCTAACAGCGTTTGTGACGAGATGGTGCTCCGAGTACGGCAAGGTGACTCGGTTTGTGGGCTGGCCAAGCGACCAGGTGGCGTCGCTGCAGTATCATTTGCTCGCTATCGCGGCAATTGGGCGGAAACAACTCGCCAGCCTTTTGCGCTACATGGCGACGTCGAAAGAGTATCATCAGGCGCAGAACGGTCTGCCCGATCTGCTCCTGTTGAGGATTGAACTGCCAAGACCTGACGATGATCCTGTACCGCTGTCTCCCGAGTGGCCGGTTGACAGTCACGACTGTCTAAACGTTCACGCGTTTTGCGGCTTGGATGAGCAGCTGAATATGAACGAGAAGGTTCTGTCGAGCATTCCGTCGCTGGAAGACGATGAGGGGAAACTGATAGAGGAGAAACTGGAGGTGGAACCGCTCGAGCGTGTGGTGCAGCTGCTGAGCGGGAGCCGCTACGTTGCTCGGATGAAGTTGGTGGAGGTGAAGGGCCCAAGAGATCGTCTGAGCGACAAGCAGCTCCTTTGGCTCCAAGTCCTCAATGAGGAGGTTGGTTTTGATGCTAGCGTCATGCACGTGGAAGAGCCCGAGAAGCACGCCAAGCGGAAGAAGAAGGAGGGGGCTGCTAGTACACCAAAGTCGGCGCCTAGAAAGCGGCAAACCAAACGACGAAAAGGATGAACTGGGGAGCAGAATGGTACAATATTTATGCCGGTCTGGCCTGGAGATATAAGGAATAGAGCTGCTAGTGTAGTAACTTCATCGCTTTCATCTCCTGTCGAGTCCGTTCCCAGTCTTCTTCATCCTCATCGTCGCTGCTGTCTTCAGCTACGCAATTGTCTTCACCCGTAGCTGGCTCTGTCACTTCCTGCCGGTGCGAATGCCTTTCAATTGCGGTCGGCGCTGGCGCCATCAAGTTGGCCTCCTGGAGGTCCTGCAGGAAGACCTGGTAGTTGTCGTCGTCGTGCTTCTCGGGGCTGCCCATCAAGTTCTTGGCTTCGACATCGACACTTGCGATCGCGTCCGGGTCCGTCAGGAAGGCGAGCACCCACTGCATCTCACTCCGAACGCCCGACGACTGTCGGTCTTTCGCGTCGGCAGAGCTGCTGGCTTCGGGCCCCTCACTCGGCGGCAACGTGCTCAGCAGCATGTCCAGCTCTGCGTCCGACAAGGACAGCTCGAGGCGGGGTCCTCCGTCCGGAATGACAGCCGAGTCTTCTTCATCATCATCTTCATCGACCTCCGGCGGTGCTGTGTCATTCAGCTCCGATGCTCGAGGACCGAGGTGGTCGTCGGCCTCTGTCTCCGGACGCTCAGCTTTATCCTCGTGGTCGTGGTCGTCGTCGTCGTCTTCCGTCGGGTTCAAGGCCATCCACTGCTCCTGGCACTGATTCGCCGTCAACTTGAGCTCCTCGTCACCGCTTGCAGCACACGCCAAAGAGTGAGCCACCTCTACGTCGGACACGGCAAACGCCAGGGCAACACGAAACCTTCGCAACTTGGCGGCCTGCCGGCAGAAGAGCTCGCTGGAGGCGCCAAAGTCGTAGCCGCTGGCGAACACGCACTGGTTCAGCAGCGCGTTGAGCTCGTCGGTCCAGTGCATGGCTCGGGATCTACCACGTACGTCGCTTCGCCCCGACTGCGTGGTCCCGATCCCCGATCACGAGATCAGCCGCCACTAAGTCCGACCATTTGACAACCGACACGAGAGGAAGGAGGGCGCAATGGCTGGCGAGCGCATGCGATCCGTGCTGTGGACCGACGGCGGGCTGCAGCTCATCGACCAGCGCAAGCTGCCGACCGAGCTGGTGCTGATGCGCTGCGAGACGGTGGAGGCCGTCACGCAGGCCATCGCCGACATGGCCGTGCGCGGCGCCCCGGCCATCGGCGCTGCCGGCGCGTTCGGCCTGGCGATCGGAGCCAAGAGCTTCCCGGCCACCGGCAGCAGCACCAAGGAGGACGTGCTCAAGGCCGTGGAGCAGGCCAAGGCCACCATCGACGCGGCCCGGCCGACGGCCGTCAACCTCACGTGGGGTGCGTCCACGGTCTCAGCTAGCGACAATGTACATTATTGTAGCTGCGGCTAACGCCTTCTGTGTTTCTGTAGCAACGGAGCGCGTGGTCAAGGAGCTGCGCGCCAAGGTGCAGCAGGACGTGACGGTCGCCGAGCTGGTGGCGTACACGCTAACGGTGGCGCAGGCGCTGGCCGAGGAGGACGTGGCGATCAACAAGCGCCTGAGCGAGTTCGGCGCCGAGGTCGTCCCCCAGGGCGCCAACATCCTGCACCACTGCAACACTGGCGCGCTGGCCACCGTGGACATCGGCACCGCCATCGGCGTCATCTATGAGTGCCACGCGCAGGGCAAGAACGTCCACGTGTGGGTGGACGAAACGCGCCCGCGTCTGCAGGGCGCGCGCCTCTCGGCCTGGGAGCTCATGCGCGAGGGCGTCCCCATCCACCTCATCGCCGACAACGCGGCCGGCTACCTCATGCTGGCCGGCAAGGTGGACGTCGTGCTGTTTGGTGCCGACCGCGTGGCGGCCAACGGCGACGTGGTCAACAAGATCGGCACGTACAAGCTGGCCGTGGTGGCCAAGGAGAACAAGGTGCCGGTCTACGCGTGCGTGCCCACGAGCACCATCGACCTCAACTTCCTCGAGGGCATGGGCATCCCCATCGAGGAGCGCAGTGCCGACGAGGTGGCCTGCATCCGCGGTGTGCGCGTCGCGCCTGAGGGCTGCCCCGTGTACAACCCCGCGTTCGACATCACGCCGAACCGCTACCTGACGGGCATTATCACGGAGGAGGGCGTGTGCTACCCGCCCTTCGAGCAGAGTCTCGCCAAGGCCGTGGCCGCTGCCGAGAAGCGTCGCGCCCAGGCTTAATGAGATCAATGAACGTGGACTCTGCGGGGAGGGTCTAAGGACCTTGGTTGGTTGTGTTATTGAATGCTGTCGTTGCACTCACAACTCCCCGCTGTATTTTGAATGCTTAGGTTCACAGTACTCGACACCTGAAAATGCCTTCAACATGGGCCAAGTGGCTGCACGCACCGTCTCCAAGCCTCAAAGCACGAGATCAGCATCAATCGTCCACACGCGAGGTATCCATGAACAAAGTGACAGGGATGTTGCGTGACCATGAAGACGAGACCATGACGTCACAATGGCACCTGGCAACCATGGGCGCCGCTCAATGCCCTCCACCCAGTACGGCAGCGCTTGGACCCCGTTCAAACGTTCAAGTGCCACAGCTCGCCTGACCAACTTCGCAAACCTGAAAAGCAGCTCGACAACCGACAACTTCATCAATGCCAATTGCTACAGGAAGAAGCGTCGGCTATACGGACAACCACCACCAACACACTGGACAATACCTCTCGAAGGGATCAAGTACTGTACCAAACGAGGCGTGGGTGACCCACGTTGCAAATTGCTGGTCAGGCGTGAAGACCCACCCGGTCAGTGACCAGCAATTTGTAACGCTAGCATTGCACGCTCCCTCCTGCTGTCAAGCGACTCGATTGAAGCGCGACAAGCTGTCAGCATACGTGCGCCCGCCCTGCAGACGAAGCAAGAGGTCCGAAGGCATGGCTTCGCCCACCGGCTGTCGGTCTTGGGATCTCGATGGCGCGGCTCGATGCAGTGCCAATGGAGGCTGACCACCACCAAGCCCGACGAAGTCATTTGCGTTTTCGCGAGGTCATCACCAAGTCTCCCGACTCGAAACCCATTGGCACCACTATGCTCGCAAGTGTCGGTCGACTGCAGTCGCCGTTGCCCTGGGCGTTGACGGCTGCGCTGTTGCTGGCGTGGTCGGATCCGCATCGTCGCTTCCTGCTCGGCGGCGTCAGTGGCGCGGTCGTGCTCAAGGTGCTGCACATTGCGATGCGGGGGCTGTGCAACAACCCACTGGAGGGCGTCTACCTGCTCGGTAGTCTGCTCTACGCCTTCGGCAAGACGGTGGTGCAGTACATGGCTCGGGGTTTCAAACCCATTTTCCCGCAGTGGACACTGCGCTTCGAGCTGTTCCGCGTCTTCATTCGCGTGGGCATGGAATTGCATGGTGAGCGCGTGCTCGGAGACGAGAGCTATGCGGCCATCGTGCGTGAACAAAGCGAGTGGTTCGGCACCTTTTGGGGTCGCCGGGCTTGTCGTAAGGCTGGAAAACGCTACCAGCCCGTCAAGATCAACGACCTTGAGCATATCTGGCTTCGGTCGCAGGCACCACGGAAGCCCAACACTCAGAGACTCGTGGTGATGTACGCGCATGGGGGCGGCTTCGCCATCATGAGTCCGAGGCTGTACATCCACTTCAGCAACGCCCTGTGCACCTTCGTCGAGAAGGAGCTCGTTCGTCAACTCGGCCCCGAGGCTGCGAGCAAAGTGCATGTGGAAATCTTCCTGGCCAACTACCGCAAGGTACCCAAGTACAGCTACCCGACCCAGCCACTGGACATTGTCAAGGTCTACGAACACTTGCTGTACCACGAAAACCTGGACCCCTCCCAAGTTGTGCTGGCCGGTGACAGTGCCGGCGCCGGGCTGATCATGTCGGCCATGCTGAGAGAGCGTCGCAACAAGCCCCACCTCTTACCGCTCTGTGCCGCGCTGGTCTGTCCGTTCGTGGATTTAGCTGGAGACGAACGTCCGTCGCCCAACTGCATCCTGACCCAGGAATGCTGCAACGCCGTGCTCAAGGCCTATCACCCGGAGCACGACGACCAGAGTAAATGGGGAGATGCCTCCTCCGTCCACTGCGACCTGCGCAACCTGCCGCCCGTGTTCCTGCAGACCGGAGACCTCGACAGCATCCACCAGCACGCGGTGCGCTTGATGGCCAAGGCCAAGGCGGACGGCGTCACCAACTGGGAGTACGACCTACACGAGACCATGTCGCACGTGTTCCCCATTTTCCCGGCCTGGTTCCTGCCGCACGCCGACGTGGCCATCGAAAGGATGGCGGCGTTCATCGTCCGACAAGTGCAGCCGACGCCCAAGACCAGCGGCTTCAGCCCCGCCGCTATGGCCGCCTAAGAAGGTGCTACTCGATTTAAGGCGTCCGGCGCAGAACTAACTCAATTATCAATCAATACATGTATGTACATTGAAGTCACCCCCCCCCCTCCCCAGTAGGGACAATAGCTACGCAGCGCTGGCATTGACAGTGTCGTCGTTGCAAGACTTTGCAAAGGTGTTCGCTGCGAAGGCTGCGACCCGCTGCACACCGACCTGTGCGTAGGGCAGCACGTAGGACGGGAAGATGGTGAACACGTGCGGAAGGTCTTGGTGCACGTCCAGCTCCCAGTTGGTCACGCCATCGGCTTCAGCCTTCTGGGCGAGACGCACCGAGTGCTGGTAGATGTAGTCGAGAGTAGCGGCTTGGACGAACACGGGAGGAAGTCCACGCAGGTCACAGTGCACGGACGAAGCGTCCGCCCAAGTTGTCGGGTTGGACGCCGTCGTGTGGTAGCCCAGTCGACCGGCGGCGATCATCTCTGGAGACAGGAGGCAGTGCTCCGAATTGCTGTGGGTCTCGATCTCAGACAGATCCACCGCGGGGCAGATCAAGATGGCAGCCAAGGGTAAGTGCGCTTGGCTCGCGTCTCTCATTCTTAGCAGCGTGGACATCACCAGCCCACCCCCAGCACTATCACCCGCGAGGATAATCTGCTCCGGAGGAATGCCCTCTGTGTGGAGCAAGTGCTTGTACGCAGCGACGGTGTCTTCCGGGGGCGTGGGGAAGCAGTGCTCGGGTGCCTTCCGGTAATTGCCCAAGAAGATGTCGACCTGAACGGACTCGTCTGTGCCGAGTTGTCGACGCAGCTCCTTCTCGATGGCTACCGCGAGCGTGGATGCAAAGGCGATGTAGAGTCTGGGACTCATGACAGCGAAGCCGCCGCCGTGGACGTAGAGCACCACGAAGCGCTTGGCCGTGGGCGTCCGCGGAGCTGCAGACCGAAGCCACACGTGCTCCAGCCCGTTGGCGTGCACTGGTTCCAGCCGTCGTCTGTGCTGTCGACAAGCGAACCACCCCAGGACAGTGCCGAAGGCAGCGCTCTGCGACCGGATCACGCGCGCGTGCTTGGCGTCGATCACCATCCGCTCACCGCGAGCACCTCGCGCGCACTCCCGGATGACGACTCGGAGGATGTCGAAGCGCAGCGTCCAGTTCTTGAATCTCGGCTTGCACCCGCGCGCCACGAACTCGACGATCGTTGAGGCGACGACGGCAGCCAAACGCGCGACTAAACGAACAGCTTCCCACGGAGTGCGGCACATGCCCTTGAACGTCTCGTGGAGAAGCGCCAGCGTCAGCGCTCCAGTCGCACCACCGAAAAGCAGTCGAAGGATGAGGCGCCGGCGCTCAGGGTCTGCCCACACGCGCGTGAACCCCGTCCACTGGGCGTGCGCCGCGATCGAGTTCGACAGCTTGACCATCTCTCCACTGCACGCGTTGCGTTCGTTGGCTGCAATTCTCGAAATGAGCTTTGGTCCACAGCCTATGGATGCACTTCAACTTGACTTGACCAGCCACCGGTGGGATGTTGAAGGCAGGCCCCAAGCACCACGACGAGTCGCGCGTAGCGAGTTGCTCGAGTGACGCTAGCGACGACGGCGTTGCAGCGGCAGTGGCAATGGCAATGGCTTGGGTGTCGCTCGAGTTGTGATGGAGAGCACTGCGGCCTCTTGTTCGTAAGCTTCCTCACGACGAGGCAACGGGCCACGAACAATCACCGCCGCTGCTTGTTCGCAATCTCAACTGCCTGCAGACAGACACGGCAACGACGAACAAGAGTCGAAGGCGTTCAGGAATGCACGAAAATCTATATTGCTCGGTCGCGGAGCCACTTTCACGCTTAGTCTAGTTGCGTCGTCTCTTCTTGCGGCCCGTGGTGGCGCGCGCGGCCGGGATGTTGCTGGCCACGCGGTGGGTGTACTGCACCACGGCCTCATCCGCCATGATCTCGTCCGTGAAGATTTTGCGGCGCTGCTTCTTGGTGAGACGCGCCGAGTGGAACTCGTGCGCGCCCTCGACCACCACGCCCATCTGGAAGTGCTTGGGCAGCGCGCGCGAGTGGTCCGAGCTCTTGTAGAACTTGTATTGGGCTGCGGTGATTGCGGTGCCACTGAGTTTGTCCGCGGTGAGCGTGGCGATGTTGCCAATGTTGCGGTTACCATCAGCAATCAGTGCCTTGCCGCCGACAGTGATGCCCGTGCTGGCCCCCTGCAAGTAGTTGATCTGATCAGCAGTGGCGAAACGTTTGGAACTTGCCAATGTACATCGCCGAGGTGTCGTTCGTCTTGAAAAGCATGCTGCTGTTCATTTGATCAGCGTCCACGTAGATGCCTGTTTGACCATCAGGGCCAGTAAAGCTGGTAACCACTGATGGGTCGAAGACAAGCGTGGGATCCAAGGGTTGGAAGCTCATTGTTTTAGGTGTTTGTCACTGCGAGCTCGACAGCGTGGCGTCGGCAAAAGCCACGTATAGTATTGAAAAAGAAAAGATCAGCGACTACACCAAGCTGCTGAGCATGGAGAAAACCCGTATCTTGGCACGGATTGATCGAAGAAACCGCATCGGAAACGATCATGGTTGGCGCAGGGGGACTGAAAATGTCCACATTGTTGTTTTTTCTTACAAAAAAATATTTTTCAACTGAGGTCGCAAGCAGAGCGAGATGTTTGTACTCGTTTGCATGATATGAGCACCATGCTCCAACAGATCGCTTAGGCGCTAGAACGTGGATGAAAAAAGTCTGGAGAGAAAGTCTCTCGCCCAAGTGAAACGTGGATATGGCAGGATTAAGACATGGGCGTTCTCGCTGTAACTCGTAGTATGCAGAGTTTTCTTTGTCGTTTTGGAAACTTGATTCCAGCAACGTCTGTGCGACATGATTGGTCAAACGCTTGCCGGCAAAGCACAGCTCTCTATCGATTGAAGGGTAACCTATCGTTGCGGTCAGATACAGAACGGACCTGATCTGTGGTCGGGTTTCATGCATTCTAGGCATTCTGGGGGGGGGGGGGCAACCCCCAGACCCCCGCATAAAGAAAACTAACTCCGAGTTGCGGCAACGTGTCCGCTAGAACATGTGTTTTTATCTGACCAAAAGCTTACAAAAACTCATATAAAATACCAGGTCCGTTCTGTATATGTGACGGGGCACACAGCACTTCTTAACAGAGGAAGCAGGAGTATACAAACTCCAAGTGAACAGCCCTTCACGTGTCCCTGGTCTGAAGGGGACGACTTGACTTGAAAAGCGGTAGATCTAAGACTGAATGTATTTATAGGTTGGTACAGATTTGGCATACAAATCCTAAGTTCCCTATAGTTTGTGTCATACAAAATGTATCTGTTGGCTCTGAGGCCACTTGGGTCACTATCCAGGGGAGTGACCGATGTAGCCACCCCGGAATAGTGACAGGGTCACTATTTCATGTAACCCCGTTACAGTATACGACCCATTTGAGATTCGATCTTATCGACCAATCAGAGCGAAGTTACGCCGGCGACTCACATTTCACTCGCAAAGTCGAAATCCATCGACAACGGCGCGAGCTCTGGCGCCTCGGCTCCCGGGCCTCACAGAGCAACTGGCGCATCGCCGAACAAGCCGCAGGGTCTCCACGTCGACCGGAAGCATGCCTCCAAAGCGCAGTGCGCGCAGTGCGAAAGCACCTCCGAAACCGCCGGCCGTAGGGCCGAAGACCAGGGCGGCCAAGGCCAAGAACGAGTCGTCCGCGCTGATGGAGGCCACGAAGGCGGCCGAGGAGGTGGTGCGCTCTCGTAGCAGCACGCCGGAGAGTGGCCGTCAGGCCGGGGCTCGGAGCAAGTCTCCTGACGCCGCGCAAGGCAAGGAGGAGAGTCCTCGGGGCCATAAAAGCCCGGCTCGCGACTGGGAAGCCGCCGTCTTTGACTGCACGATGGTCCAGTACTCCGGTGAGAGTTCACCCGACGACGAGAACGTCTCGGAGGGCAGCACGCACGCTGCCGAAGGCACGGAGCTGGCGGCAGGCGACATGACCAACGCCTCGGCCGACGCAAAGGCCTCGTCAGGGAAGGAGGCGGAGGACGCCGGCGACAGCAAGCAGTCGCACGACGAAGTCGCCATGGCCGACGCTGGGGTCGTGGCCGAGAAGTCGCCGAGCGACGCGGGCTCCAAGCCCAAGGAGGTGCTGGCATCCAAGCATCTGACGCTGGCACAAGGTCGTGAGCGTGCCCAAGCGTCGAAAGCGGCTGCCGCTGCGAAGGCCGCCGAGGCCAAGGCGAAGAAGCGTTCAGCTTTCAGGTCGCCTCGCGGCTCAAGCTCCAAGCTGTTCATCGACTCGGAGTCTGAGGATGAGGAGGGTGCCGTCCACGAGCCCAAGGAGCTCTCCAACAACCTCGACGAGCAGCAGCAGCAATACCACGCTGCTAGCTCGGGTGCGTATGCCAGGCAGTCGACTGCCACGACTGCCATCGAGTCTTCTTCAGGCGGGGATGCCACGTACCCGCAGGGCTACTTCCCACCCGAGCCTGGCACTGGTGCGCCAGCGCTGTTGGAGAAGCTCTCGGCTCCTCGTGGCCTTATCGGCGGGTACACCTCGAGGGGTTCCTATGAGCGTGCTCTTGTTGAGAAAGAGCCACTCTTTCTTGGCGACGTTGAAGTCGCCCGGTGTGTGCTACTAGCACCACACAAGCTCACACTGAAGGAGTTCACCACGCTTCGCAAGAAGCCGGAGGACAAGGGTGGACTCCATCCTGTGTGGGGTTTCCACTGGGTCAAGCCGAATGACAACATGACCTGGAGCGAGGTGGAAGACCTCTTCTGGCGCTACGTCCAGCGCAAAGGGTATTCCGACCAAGAGTTCAAAGAACTCCGTGAGGATCGCACTCTGTCCGCAATCCTGGACGTGCGCGAGCTCCGCATCGAGTTCGCTCAACTCGTGAGCAAGCGCAAGCTCCACTCGAAAATGGACGAGCTGAAGCAAGAGGCGAGAGCCAAAGCTCGTGAAGAGCGTGGGCGTGGTGCGACTACGTCTGCTACCGTGCCCCGGGTACCGGCCAAGAAGCCAAGGACTACTTACGAAGCTGCCGCTGCTTCTCGTCCCATATCGCAACAGCCTTCGGGCAGTCTGCCTGGAGCTGCTCAACGGGCTCCCACGAGTTATCCGACTCAGGGTAACCCCTCCACTTCACGAGCAGCTGGCGCTTGCCATGGAGCCGCCGCTCCCGGACGACTCGTTCCACGTGGTAGTGGATCTGCCCATTACGATCAAGGAGGGCCGGCGGTGGCCTCGCACGGCCATGGCTACGAGCCTGAGGCGACGCAGCCGTATGCTGGGGCCCCGAGTCAGGTGGTGGCCCTGCAGCAAGAGGAGATTCGTCTTCTCCGGGACCGTGTGTACGTCCTCGAGATCGCGCTTGGCGTCGGCCTTAGTGGCGAGGCTGCCGCTCGTGCTGGTAAGCCTGGTGCCGTGGAGCGGCTCCGTGTGGATGTTGCCTCGCTCTATCAAGAACCTCGCAGTCTCCATGGCCATGTGGATCGTCGAGCCGACCTGTCGTCTTACGACTCGCTGCGAAACCAGCTCGCTGGCCTTCGGGCCGAGCTTCATGGCCACGCGCCGTATCCGGAGCAGCAGCAGCCCCACTCGTATCAGGCCCCGTTTGACCAGGGCTCGTACGGGGCCCCTGCGTATGCTTCTCCGATGTACGCCGCGCCGTCTTACGACCAGCGCGCGTATCAGGCGCCTTACCGCGACTCGACGCCGCGCTACGAGGAGCTGCGCTCTTCTCCACCGGGCCACCCACCGCTTCCTGCGGGGCAGCCAGAGCCAGAGGGTCATGGTACCTCTTAAGCCGACCCACGTAAAACGTCGGGTGAGTCGTCATCGACTTGGGCAAGTCTATGGTGTACGCCGCGGCATGCCGGCTGAGGACCGTGAAGGGTCCAATGAAGCGGGGCTTCAGCTTGTTGCTCTCGACCGAGCTAACAGTGTTTAGCGGTAGGTTTCTAGTATCTAGGAGAACTAAATCCCCAACCTTAAACACGTTCATGTTTCCTCTTCCATTTCGGTCAGAGTACTCCTTCTGTTTATCTTGGGCTTGCGCCATGGTGTCTCGCACCCTGCTGATTATGTTCAGCCTGTCTTCGGCAAACGAGGACAGTTGCTTCCGCAAGGGGCTGGACTCACGTCCGAGACTTGGGAGGAAAAGGTTTTCCGAGCCTCTCCCCCACTTAGGACCGAAGCCCCGGTACTGCCTCGTAATGTGAGCGACACCTGAGGGTGGCGCAACCCGTTTAGGTAAAAGGGCGTAAAGCCCGTCGATGCATGTACCGCATTGTTGAGTGCGAACTCAACCATGGGCAAGCGATCAGCCCAAGAGCGGGGCATCTCCGCGCAGATACTGCGGAGCGTGTCTTCGAGCACGCGATTGACGCGCTCCGTCTGG